CACCTGTGGCATGGTCATTTAACATATCTATAACCTTTAACTGGTTGCATATTTATGTTAAATAGCTGTGGCCCTGCTCTGAGCCAGGGGGATGGAAGGGACTTCCACCCAAGACATAACTGGGGACATGTGCCCCAAGTTACAGCCCCTGTGTGAGAACTTGGAAATGACTGGCTCCATGACATGGGGCTACACCTGCCCAGACTCACCAGGCAGCCCAGTAAACTTGGAATAATACAGGAATGCTGGCCAGTGTAGTCGATTGTAGGAGGAGTCCAAAATGGGGCTGCAAAGGAGGACTGGCTTGGGGATTTAAAACCCAGACACAGAGGCCATTGGAGTACCACAGGGCTTTGCCAGAGTGGGGACCCCTGCAGCCACGTGAGAAGGAGGGAACCATGCGGCTGTGGCAGTGGAGAGAGAAAGCCATGTGCTTCTGGACAGAGTGGGGACCCCTGTAGCTGGGAGTAGAGAGAATCACCATTCGGCTTTAGCAGAGAACCACCACTCAGCTTTGCCAGAGTGGCGACCCTCCCCTCTCCACAGCTCTGCTGGAGAGAAGAACCATCAGGTTTTGGCCAGAGCGCAGACCCCTGCAGCTTTGGTAGAAGAGGACCACGTGGCTTTGGGGTGCTCCCTTTGGCCACGTGGCCTGGGAAGCAGGAGAGACTTTGCCTGGAAGAAGGGTGAAAGAACTCTTTGCCAGTAGGCCATGAGAGAGTGCCACATGGCTTTGGAGTAATTAGAGATTCCTGCCTGAACGGCGACACAGCTGACGGTGCCAGCAGCCTGAAACACAGACATGTGCTTCTTTTCCTGAGATACGGTACCTGAATTAGGGCGGGGGGAGAAGGAAGCTCTGTGAGCGGCTGTGGTTATCCTAAAGGACTTTGATATTTTAATGGCAACACTGGATCACTACTTCAAGTCTGTATAGCTTTAAACAAACATTTCCTTTCCTTTTCATAAATCTCTGGCATTGAGAGATGTCTTTTCTCTGGTGGCAGACAGACAAGCCCAGTAGGTGGTCAGGACAGTATCAGTATGCTGTCCTTGGGAGGAGCCCCTGTTGTTCTGTAACAGTTTTTGGCATCCCTAGGTGGGCCAAACATTGCCCCCCCTTGGACCTCTGGTCTATAACAATATCACTAAACCATAAGGAGGAAGATGACTGAGAACGGTGTATCTGCAGAGCATCCAAATATCGCCACACACACACTCACCGTGCATTTACGAAGGGACAGATGAACCCTCATGATAGACGCCACCTTGATCAGGTGGTTAAACTCAGAATTCCTAATAGAGGGGCAATCCGGCGTCACGGCTTTTCTGATGTGATCACCCCCATGAAGCAATACTGCCAGCAACAACAACAACTTTAATCGGAACGTAATTAAGCCGTTACCCCTACCTTCTAGTTTACAGAAAAACAAGTTAAATAACCTTGCATTTTAAGAAACAAGCAAATTGAAGAACGTGGGCCATTCAACAAAACGAGAGACCTACTCTCTTCAAAAATTTTCCATGGCATCTATTTCCGATGTCACGGAAAAATGACTAGGGGGAAGGTTTGCCTTAGGGTAAAAGACAACAAAGAACTACATCAAATGTAATATGCGAATCTTGACTTGATCTGATCCTACCTCACACCCCCTACCTGGTCCAAAATGAAAAACAAGTTACAAAAAATATTTTGAAAACTGGGTAGATCTGAATATGAGCCAATTAATTACCAGACAACATGGGGATTTACTGTTAATTTTCTTCAGTATGACAATAGCAATTGAATATTGTCATGCAAAAGACATGCAAAAGAATATCTTTATTTTTAGGAGATGAATGCGGAAGTTTTTAGGAGTGAAGTTATGGTGTTTGTAACTTACTTTCAAATGATTCAGGCAGTTTATGTTTGAAAATTTTTTACAATCAAATAATCAAAACAAGTGAGAAATATATTAAGTCTGTTTTTCTGTCACTAGTCAATCTGATGAAGGAGTTTTTAGGAGGGTCTGAGTAGCTCCTCTCCTGAAACTTGAGTGGGGTAGCAGGACCCAAAGCCAGGAGGCCGCCGTCCCCACTGCTGTTCCCAGAACTGCCAGGCGGCACCGGGGGTCCCCTGTGTCCAGAGGCAGGCCCGGCCGCTTCATTTGTGCAGAAGGGTACATCCTGGGAACGTTTAGACTGCTGTCATTCAGGATGGAGAAGTGAAGCAGAAACAAGGGATGGGCTGGGGGTGGGAACTCAAACAAAATTAAGTAACAGCTGGTTTATTTTATGAATCTGAGGAAGACAAAGCAATTGGGCATGATTCCTTTCAGGGACATCGTGCACCTTCAGTGACTGATCTCACAGTAAAAATGATGAGTTAAGTACCACCGTGTTTATAAGGCACCTTCATATGCATTACCCCACTGACTTCTTAAAACGGACTGGACACAGACAAGGTAATTCACATTCCCGCCTTACAGATGAGGAACACCAGGTACTGAGAGGCTGGATGATTTGCTGGAGGTCCCAGGGCTAGTTCGGGAGCCCAGGGCCTTCCACAGCGGACCACACCCCCAGAGTGTGGTCACTCAACAGCTCTCTTACTCTGAACAGTGGTCATGTCTCTGAGCTTCTGTTTTCAGACCAGACAGCCGTAGGCTCATAGAGAAATTGCAGAGGTTTGTAATTCGGCCAGTGTTTGGGGCTGGAAAGTAACACTCAGCATCAGATGCCCCCGGCTTCCATCCACAGAAGGCCGCAGAGATAAGGTGGGACGGGCCCAAGCTCAGCTAGGGAGGAGGCAGCACGCACTCCTCCCGTGCCAGCTCCCCAGCTCTGGGGCAGGGGCAGGCCTTCACCCACCACCACCTCCTGGGGTCCCAGGACATGCAGGAAATGAAGGGACTGTGTGAGGCTGAGCAGTGGCTGCAACAAAAGCACACACCAGTCCTGCCAAAAGCCAAAGCACCAGCAAAGCAGGAGTGTGAGCACTTGGCCATGTCCAGTGCACGCCCGCACAGTGCCTCCAGTCTGGCTGATTGGAGAGGCCTCTCTCCAGAGCACTCCTAACTCGGGGAGATGACTAATTCCATGGCTTTCGTAAAATACAGGGGTCCACCAAATGTTTGCTGGGCAGATTTTTTTTCCGTCTCCCAAACGGTAGCTCATTAAGTCGGACAATAAAGCAGGCTTTGCTATGAAGATTTACAGTGTTTCCCCAGTGGAAATTCTAATGGACAGCCACCAGGAGAACAACGATGTACAGCAGAGAGCTCCCATTTCTCCCATTCTCCCAAGATCCATCTCAAAGAAGCGCTGGCTTCTCAGGTTTCCCGGACCAGCGTTTAGCTCGGTCTTTATTCGGACACATGCAGAAGTAGATGCTTGGATAGAAGTTTATCATTCAAAGTTGTCAAATCTTAAAAACCAAAAGGTTTATTCTTTCAGACTTCAAAGATAAGAAATTTCATTTAACTCCCAGGTCCCTCCTCGCAGAATAAGCATATTACATGAAAATACAGCCACGCCTTGTGCATGTAAAAAGGGGACCCTAAAGAAATAAAATGCATGAGGACAGTCTTCAGAAACAGCTGAGTGAGAATATTAAAGGCGCCGTTACTCAGAGGATTCATTACCGGATAAAAGTTCAAGCACCAGAGAGCGATTTTCACATGAATGTTGGTGCTGCTGTCACAGGCAAGTCTCCCATCGACACAGAGAAGCAAGTCAGGGGGCTGTGAGTGACAAGGTATAGAGAGGGGTGTTCAGATAAGGGGCAGACATTACAGCGCCCTTTCTCAAAGAAAACTTTGAAGATTTTGTGAGGCTTTCTTCGAGGACCTGTCACAAAATAACAATGCAGTTGCAAATGAGTGGCCCTCGGTGGCCCCTCGCAGCCTTTTTATAGACCAGCTGGCAAGGGCTGCCCGGGATGGGAAATTAGCATAAGAGAAGGGCTCAAAGTTACTGGGCCGACTTACAGCCCAAAGGAGAACGCTCTCAGATGAAGAAGGACTCCCGACACAGCCACACAAATAAGGGCACAATGTTTAAAAACTCCTCGCTGAAAAGAACAGCAGAGAAAAAGTCTCCTTTACTTCTTTCTGAATCTCTCCACCCTCCAAACAGCACCCAGGCCCCTGCAGTAAACACAAACAAGTCAACCACGCCTTTCCACTTGCCTTACACAGATTAAGACAAGTGAAACTGGCAGAAGAAGGGGGAAAAGAACACAATTCACTACACTCTTTCTAAACAGAAAGCAGGGACCAAGGTGGAAAAGCTGCCCCAGGAGCACTTGCCCAGGCAGGAGCACTAGACCAGCAGTCAGGAGGCCTGACTGGTGCCTACCAAGAGCTGTATGATGGGTCCCTTAACTTCCTGAATTTCCTTGGCCTCCTCTGTAAAGCAGTCATAGACATCAGTGGTTCTCAAACTGGGTTCCTTAGAGCTCTAGGGTTCTGTGGGTGCCTTTGGGGTAGCCCCAGCAACACAGGGTAAGGCACAGGGGCCCCATGCTTCCTCTCAACCCTAAAGAGTTACCAGTTGATCCATTTCGCACACGAAGCTTGTTAGAAAAAAGCCTTCTGTTTAAACAGTTTATTGCCAAGACAATTCACAACTAAAATGATTTAAGAGCATTGGGCCAATATACCTTGTGATTTTTTTAATCTTTATAATTACATCGTTTCTATGTGCCTCTTCGGATTACTGTTGTAGGGATTAATCAATAGGCTGGTTAATATGGATCCTCAAATCTGTACATCATGTTCTCTTACTCCAATTTAAAAGGTGAGGGAACTGAAACCTAGATAATTCAAATATACCCAAAATCCCACAGCTCCGTAGGTGGTAGGGTTCAAACTCAGGAACATCTGATTTTAGCCTTATAGTTAAAGAATAAACTTCACTGTAAGGAACGAGCGATGAGTTATCTCATTGTTATTCTCCTTCCTTCTCCATAGAACACCAGATTCTTTATTTGTAATCCCTAAGAGTAAATCAACACTTACCCCGGAGAGATTAAATGAATCGCTACAAGTTCTGCCCAACAAGCAAATCTGTTGGGAACAGGAAAGCCCAAGACGTTGACAAAGCCTCCCGGGCAGTAATGGTTGCTAAGGACTTTCAGAGCGAACAAAACTCCTAAAAGAGAAGAAAGAGCATATGAATATCAACAATCCAAATGTGGAGATAATCGACATTTACAAAGAGAATTAAGTAGTTGAAAGTGAAATGGTTATTTGACTATATCCAACTTTTCACTTCGAAACACATTCTATTCCTTCCAAGCCAACCCAGCATTTGGTAGAAAGAAGTGTTCTCGGCCATCATTCTTTCCATGTTTCTTTACCCAGGAGTCCGTCCTGACTTTCAGCATGCTACTGAACACGTATAGAACCATAAAATGGAGATAAACCACCAGCAACGGTACCAAATGCCACAGCATCCTACACTGAAAAATTGTTGATTTTATGCCATGTGAATTTTAAGTCAACAGAAAAAAAGGATGTAAGTTACACGTATTTTGCAACCTCTATGGGAAGACATGTTGAAGGCGGGACGTGTTTTCTTACTTCTCCCACAATTAGATGCATGTGGGTGCATCTCAGGGAAGCGGGAGGAGAGTGGGCGAAGTCAAAAGAAGGGTTCGATTTCCTTTGATTTCAGGACTATCTCCCTCCTCCCCTTCACATTCCAATTTTCCGAACACCTAATTGAAGCCCCGATGGCAATTTCAATCCTATGACATACACGTAAAAAAAAGAACTGGTAAGGTCAAAGGGAGAGGCGATGCAGTACCTGGTTAAAGTCCTGTGCACTGGGCTCAAATCCCAGCACACCGCTTACTGGGTGTGTAACCTTGGGCAAGTTTCCTACCGTCTGAGCCTCAGCTTTCTTATCTACAAAACCAAGACAGTGCCAGCTCCCACGAACCCGGCATATGAACTGAGCAGCATGAGTTATATGGAGTTACATGGACTGATCTCGGATCCTGAAACAGAGTGGGCAGGCCATGATAGGACATGATACATTTACTTTAATGAAGTTAATAAGGGGCACACTCATTTTTTCCCAAACTCCCCATCACAAACACACCTGTGGGTCTCTCCCAGGTCCTGGGATGATGGCACCAACGCATATTCCTACACTGCATCTCCTACAAAACTACCTGTGAGCAGACTGCAGCGCAAACTGCCCAAGAGCAAATGACGCACAGCAGCATCCACGTCCCTCCTGTGCTCCAATCAGCTTCCTCTCCAGAATACGTCCCCCAGCAGCCCTGACCCACTCAGAATTCCCTTCCTTCAGCGACCAGGGACCCACACCTCCCGGTCTTTATCACGCCTCCTTAGAAATGTGTCTGCCTCACCTGAGAAACCTACGGCACAGTTCATTTTGAAGCCAGGTTCACCCATGAACTCCGCAAGTGCGGACTCCAAGAACAGGTACACCACCCCGGTGAGGAGGGAGAATGTGGTGATGACGTAGGCAAACCACCTGCTTCCCAGTCTCCTCTCCAGCTGTATTCCTTTCCACAGCATAGACACCATATTGAAGTACAGGTGCCAGTCATCTGCGTGGTGAATGGGGGACAGCAGCAAGCGCTGCCAGTCCTTCTCCTGGTAACACGTCTCCACGCTAAGGCAGGAGCTAAGTAGTGGCTTCAGAGGACTCAAGAAGAGCCAGATGTTGACGGCCAAAGTTGCTAGAGTGACGGGTGGAATATTGTTGACCCCAACTTGGAAGATTTGAGAAAGGAGCAGAAGAAGCCCAGCATTAAGTCCTCTTGATCTCCGCTGCATGGTTGGGTATCAACCCAGTGATGGGAATGCGTGCAGTCCAGGGAGGTAAACAGACAGCTGAACCTAAAACGTAAAATAAAATGCACGTGAAAAGTCCATCAATTAAGAATGAATGCAATGCTAGACACATAACTCAACTGAGAGATGAGCTCACGTTGTGTAGAGCACACCTCTCGTCCATCAGCAACGTCGATGTTCAGTGTCTTCCAGAGTAACGTCCTTCCTTCGTCCTACTTCCTAAAACCGAGATTTTTCTACCCCAAGTCCCAGTGGGTCTGCTAATGGACGGGCATGCTTTCTCTGGCAAACATGCCCTGAAAACATGCCTTGTCTTCCTTTCCAGCAAACTTGTAATTTAGCAAGGCGGTGCATCAATATTTCATCGTGATCTCTACTCAGAATGCTGGTCAGGATTCTTTGTCCCCTTCATTTTTTCAAAGACATATTCAATTTTGATATTTTAGACAGAGTCTGCTCCACAGTATCTAAACATCAACAAGCAAGTTCAAAAAAGCAAGCATATCTCCTATTCCACGCTGGCAGGTTTCGACTCCTGGGATGCTTCATTTTCACAAATACTTCGGCTTTTAAAAGCTACCTACTTTGTGCAAAATCTTGGATTGAAACACAGTCCAGGCAGCTTGTTTTTAAGCAGCTCGAATTCTACTAAGAAGCAAATGAACAAGGGCCACACGACATTCTAAACACAGCAATGGAGGGAACCCAGGCCCAAGGCACACGACCGAGCCTGCAGAGCGATGTGCCCCTGGTCTTCAGGGGAGAATTGGAATCAACAGCGAAGAAGAGCTCCGGGGTTGGGCAGTCTGCTTCTCCTCTGCAGATTCTGGCTGGCCTCGTGATCTGCGCCAGCTGACAGAAGGCAAAGGGAAGGACTCTCGTGAGTTCTGAATCTAGGCCTCAGGATGACCTGCAGGCTTCTCCTCTCTCTCGAAATCCCCCCAAGCAAGCCTGTAGACAGGTCCATGGTGGCCAGTCACCGAGAAGGCCGTGCCACCAGCCACCAATGCCCAGAAGCAAAGCTGTCCGGGTGTCTGGAAGCTGACCACAGATGCATCGGTGAGTCCAGCCGCACCCAGACTAATTTGTTCACTCACAGAACAAATAAACAACGCTTTCCTGCACCACGTTTTGGAGTGGTTTGTTATACAGCAATTCTGACCAATGTAGCAGGTACCTGCTTTGGTGAGGGACTGGCTTATACTCATGGGAAGAAGCTAGTAAAGAAAGAGACACAGACTAAAGATGCTTCAGATAAAAAGAATCAAGTCCTTGAAGGGAAGAGACTTGTTCGCTGTGGCATTTATGTTATCACGTAAATGTCAGGTGCAAATACGGGTCAGTAGGCAGGCCGATCAGGAGACAGATGCTGAAAGAGTGCCCACCTAGGGGTTCTGTTTTCTCTGTGGAGCCTTCGTGGCTTCCATCCAAAAAGGAAATACGCTCTGATACCCTGAAGATTCTTATTCAGAGGGTGCACTGGAACATACATGGGCTTTGGAGCAAAAAAGGGCAAAATTCTCCTACTTACTAACACTCTTAACTTCAATTTCTTAAACACTTAAAACTCTCGTAACTTCAATTTTTTCACTTTAAACTAGGAATAGTATCTCCTTGTCCAGGTGAGTGTAATGTGTCTGGAACAAAGAAACTGCTGAATAAGTGACAGGAACTTTTTTCATCACGACAAGGTAACCTCGCTCATGTGAAAAATCCTTTGCAAACGGTAGTAGCATGCTAATGAGGCTCCAATGCATTCCCTTTGCCCCCATACAGATTCTTACCAACATCACCTCCAAAAGAAATGCCCAAGAAAAGAGTTATATATGTATGTGTCTGTGTCTCCCCATTATTGGCACAACCCAAGTTTCTTTATTGCCACGGGCTTATTATTATAGCTCTATAGCATTCTCATGAACTGGAGAATTTAATAAAATTTCAAGTGAAAAGTTTCCAAATGATTTTGGAGAAATGGTCTGTTTTTCACACTGGCCTTCAAGATGATTTTCTTCTCTAACTACGGTATCTTTCTCACAATTCTCCTAAATAATTGCACACATTAAACATCATTACCTATAATAGGAGCAATGAGAAAACATGGCCTTGATCATTATGTTACAAATAAACCCTTTGGTATCAGTACGGTGTCCTATGGGGGCCAGGCTACAAACAGCAGAAAAATCAACAGTAATTATGTCTCTGTGTCAGAAAAAGCTCTCCGTTGACTGGAATCATTAGTGATTGAACGCATAAACAGAAGAGCAGTAGAACTTCCCTGGTCGTTGTTCACTCTGTGCACCCGGGCTCACATCACATTTGCTTTACTTCTGCCCAAACCCACGGGTCCCCTTCTGTTTGCCCCCCGCCACCACCACTCTGCTCACCTCCCGCCATCACCAGCTCCTGCTTCCCCGGCCTCACCCCGCCTTCCAAACGCCCTTCTCGTCTACCCTAACTCTCCTTAGCACACCGTCGTCCCTCATGGAATTCCACTCTCATGGTTTCGATAATTCTTTTTATCAGATGACTCCCATTTTTATACTTTTCAGCCCTGATTCCTCTGTAGGTTTCAGGGACATCATTTTACAGGACATACATAGCCTGCCTGATCTCTGGTTTCTGGAAACAGAACTGTCACTGTTAGCCCACAATGACCACTCGGCATTCCCGCCATCACGCATTTGTTTCACGAGTATCAGGTGCCAGTCACCTGAGGTAGAGCAAAGAGCAAAACACAACCCCAGCTCCTGAATGGCCCATTTCTATTTGTTGAAGGAAGTAAACATACAGGCCACAGAAAGTCAAAAGATGAATCAAATCATGTGGTTCATATTCTCCAACAAACGTACACTTAATGTGAAGGGAGATATAACCACAGTCCATGTGAGAAGTGCATAGTATGTTAGGCTCCACTTTCATAAAGGCCAGGAGAATATCCGTGCAGGTAGAACGTGAACTTGAGTTTTAAGTAGCAAAGGTTAACTGGCACTACTTCATACCAGCTCTATGTATGGCTCAGCTTCCTTCCTAGTAGGTTAAGTCAGCCGCTCAAAGGGAGGAATGCAGCCTGTAACTAGGTAACAGAAAATCCTTCTGGTACATGTGAAGATCAAACCTGTAACTTGACCTTGTGGGCTCAGACCACCAAAGACAAGACAATAGATGACAATAAGCAAGTGCTGACTATAAAATAAATATTGCTTTGTCCTTTCCATCAAATAAATAGAAATCTTTAGAGTGCTGAGTTATAAGAGGGACCACAGAGGCATGATCAATTACAGCAATGTATGTATGAGCTGGAAACTGATGCAATGTGTTTGGTTTTAGAAGTCATTGTATTTGTTCTAATCTGTACTTGGACCATAAACCAGTTACTGTAGCTCCAGGAAGAGCAGGTTAATTCCCAAACACCCCACTCCATAAACACACCCTCCCCCACACTCGACGTGCCCCACACAACACTGGACCATCCTTTCCAAGCTTGCTCTTCCTCCCACGTTGCCCACGCATCTCAGAACATGGAATCTCCAGGAACCCAGCTGTTCAAGTCAGAAATATAAAAAACATTCTTTGCACATCCTTGGCCCTCACCACCTTCCTATCCCCACAACCCATCCATAAGACTTGGTTAATTCTTCCAGTTGGCTACTGGTCCACTTCTTTCTCATCCTAGGGTCAGTGCTCTAGGCTAAGCCACTGGCATAACTTGCTTGAACTACAACAAACTCCCTAAGTGGATTCCCTGCTTCTCCTCTTAGACCCAGCGCCCATGTTCACCACCCTTCAGAGTAGCATTTACAAAACTACAGATGGAGGCCCCTGCAGTGAGCCTTCAGCGGCTTATCATTACAGGTGGAATGAAGACCAAACTCTTCACCACAATGCCTGTGGTCGCTACCGTCCTGACCACCTCTCTGGTCCCACCGCACACTGGTCTCTGCCTCGGTCACAGAGCTCCAGCCACACAGGTGCTCCAGCCACACAGGTGCTCCCTCAGCAGGGCCTCCGGGACTACAGCCCAGAGGGCCAAGGGCAGAGTCAGCTTCTCCACTTTGACCGCGGCTGAACCTGCAAAGCCTAGCACAGTGACTGGCATCTAGTCGGGGCTTCCTAAGTATCCGCCCAGTGACTCAAGAAGTATTTGTCATTTTTTCATACAATACATTTTCATTACACCATAAATGAGACTGACTAAAAAGGTCTGAATACCTCTGGGGTGTTTGTGTCAAAGAATTGTTCCTGCAGGTGCAGCGGCCCTCCCCAGAGCACGCCACACGTTGTTCCACTTACCATTTTTAGTTCCAGGATGCTTCTTATAACATTTATCTCATGGTCGCAGAGATTACCCTCTAATCCATTTAAAACGTATTAATAGGCTGTTTTGCCAGAGCTTTTTGATTTGAAAAATGACATTTTAATTATGTAGTAACGCACACTGGACAGCTCTGTATCAAGACTGTGACAGAAATGGAAGACTTCTTGAAATATTGATAGGAAAATTAGCCATATTTACTTTTAATGAGAAATTAAAAATTTAACAAGTATGTAATGAGGAAAACTAAGTGGCTAGAACAAACAAAAGAAACTGAATTCATAACTTGGGAAACCAGTGTGCCTCAAGGGGGAGAGAAAGGAGTTTTATTAAAAAGGGGACGGAAACTAATTATGGTGATTTTCAATTCTCCTTACGAAGCAGAAAATATTCTCATGATCATAGTTTACCAGGCAGGTATATATCTCAACTTTCAATTTGAATGTTCAACAACAATTCAGAACTTCCGGTCAAGATGGAGGCACGGCTGCCTCACCCAACCACAGAAAGAATTATAACTAGGTCTCAAAACAAGTAACACCCAGCACCATCAAAAAACCGAGCTATATGGAGGTCGGACAACCAAGGATTTAAAGAAGCCAAATGCATCCAGATGGGGAGGATGAGCAGAGATGCCCAGAGGCAGAGATGGCGGAGAGGTACAGAGACGCGGTGTGGCACGGAGAGGTGGCGGCAGATCAGGAGTCCCACATTCACATGTGGAAGATAAAAA